AGTCCCCAGCCCTGTTTCAGTCTGAAGGAGGAACAAATTTGCTTCTGACACATTTAAAACTAATTTTATTCTCATTTGTGTGAGAAGATAAATTGCAATTCTTATGAAATTATTTCATTTTAATTGTGTGTGTTAAAATATGTTCAACATACAGGATGGTTAGATTTAGTCCTTGGAAGTTTTATTTTATTGCTCTGTGTATTTCACCTGTACTCCCAATCTGTATAACACGCATATTATGAAGCTGCGAACAAAGTCTCATTGTATTTCTCTGCTGTCTCACCTCTGCTTTTTCTGAAGAGGCCACACTTTCTAAGCCCATAGTGTTACTAGCCCAAACTGCTAATAAAAAGCCAACTAATATTAATGACAGAATCCTTGTGTGGTTCACATTGGGAGCAGCAGGATTGCTCTCAGAACCAGAGTGGATGCAGCCTGTTGCAGCAGTATGAGCAGGGAGTGGGTCTTCCCAAACAGAGGTCATCTATAAATAACATTTCTCAGACCAGAACCATGCAGACTTAGGCATTTTGAAGTTAATCAGTGCTCACATGCTCACTCCTCCCATCATCAATCTTCTAACAGAAAAGAGTTCAGGAAAAACCCATGCACAGGCATCCTCTAAGTTTGGCTTGTGTTTACCCTGCCCAACCTATGAACTCATGATTTTATTTATCTCCAGAGTCCATAGTGGGAGAAGACTGCAAAAGGCATTAACAATGCCCTTTTTCCTTTTTCCCAGCATAATTCAAATGGGATTATGGCAGTGCTCAGGTGAGTTCACTGCTCTGAGCATGTGGGGAGCTGTGATCCCTGGTCTCTCCTCTTCTGTTTTACTGATGTCCTTCTAAGGCATTTTCTTTTTCTTTCCAGCTTTCCAAATGTGGTTTTTATTACGTACAGAGGTGACTTCAGACTTAGGTGGGTTGTGTTCTCCTCTCTTTGTTGGCTTGACAGGTTATATGGAACCCACTTGTCCACACAAATGCTTAAATCAAGTGGGGAATAGGTCTTGAGTCCTCTACCACAGACTTTCAGGTGCTAGACCAGACATAAAACATCCCTCAGGTTTGATGACTCTAAGTATTTTAATTACATGGATATATGCTGTAGGATGAAATTCTTCAGAGAATTTCATACTTGAAATCAATTGATTCAGACAACTATTTTCATTAAGGAAGAAAACCTCTAAAATACCTGTTTGAAACTGGCTGAAATGAAGTTTAGTTCTGTTTTTTACAGTTCCTGCAGTTATGTGAAATAGTGGAGTTCAGTTTAATTGAACATGCAGAATGTGTTTGCACGTTGCTAATTTCAAAATCCAAGGCTTAATGTAAAAGTTAGAATTTGAATGACCTAAACTGACAAATACAAATTTTATATATACACATATTTTCAATTGCTATGTTGCTAATGCTTAGATACCTTATTTAATGATAGTTAATACGGTGATACTGATTTTGTCCCTGCTGTGTTCATTATTAACCCCAGAAGGCAATGGAAATTTTATTAGACTCAGTATTGGATATTAATAGTGTGCCTGACTATGTTGTGAAAAAAAAAAAAAAAGAAGAAGCCTGCAAATATTTGTAAGTTAATTGCCTGACTTGGAAACCACAGATGTACATGAATAACATTTACTCACAGATATTGTCTCAGTAAATTCAAGATCTGTCCAATGAGTGGTTGTCAAATAAGGCCATAAATCACACCTTTCTATAAAGTTTAGGAAATCTTAATGACAAGGCACCCCTAAGGTATTACGGAAATTTGATAAGTTTTCATGAACAGCATTTTAAAGTCATGTATCATTAAATAAAGGAACTGGTCAAAGTTTAAAAATAAAGAACTGGAAGTTAAGGTTAGTTTGCCTATATTAAAAAAAAATAAATCTGGAGCAGCCATCAGCTCATGGTAGCTATTTATATTCTACCTGACAACAACAGCCACAATGTCCATGTTCCTTCAAACGTGGTACACCATTCTCAGGGGCTGTATTATACATGCCCACACGTGGGTTTTCACTTATTTTTGTGTCTGGCCAGTGTTGGAGCAGAATCAATGGGTGGGCAGTCACCTGAGCCATGAAGGAGCCTGGCACTCAGCTTTCACATGGGAAACAATGTGGGGACAAATGTTCTTGTGGCCAGATAAAAATGGTCCTCCAGGGTTCCAGCTGGGCCTTGTTTTCCTCAACAGTGAGTTGGGATAATGGCACTAGAGTGAGTAGGAGAAAGTTACAATCTGATGGCCAAACAAAATTCCTGTTTCAGAGAAAGTGATTCCCTGCATCACCTGCAGATGGTTCAGTCCCTGTCTGGCATGGTTAATTGGGGTGCATATAGCCAGGTACAAAGAATCTCTGCAAATTCAGTGGGAAGCCAATAGTTAAACCCAAGGAAGTCTTCCAGAAGGGTGACTGTGCATTGGAGGATGCAGCTGCAAGGCACACAGTGTGTTTGCAGCAGCCTATGTGCAGTTAGCAGCCCCCTGTGGATCCTGGTCCACTGAAAGAGGTACATCCCAGCGGCCCTAGGGAGTAGGAGGGAGTGAATGTTGTCCTTTAAGCAACGCTTTAAGCAGGGTTAATGCCTCTTGTGGCCTGAGGTGGACCTCCCCTGAGGTCCAGGGGGATCTCCAGCCCTATTCTGAGTGCTCAAAGCCTTTCAGCACTAATTTCAGCACCCTCTGTGTGGCCAGCCAGGGAGGATGAGTTGAGATGTGCAGGCAGAATGCTCAGTGCAGCAGCCGGGGGTGCCCAGTGGGGCTGCCCTGGTGAGGCTGGCTGGTGGCAGGTTCCATGCAGGCCAGTGTCTCATGGCATGATGTCACAGCAGGGCACCCACAGCAACAGCTCCTGCCCCATACACCGTCCCTGGGGAGGCCTGGGCTGACACCAGGCCTGCTGCCACCGGCCTTCTGCCACTCAGCAGCTGTCCTGCTGCCAGGAGGTGAAAGGAGGCTGTGGAGTGTCGAGGGGGAGGAGAGGAGCAGAGTTTTTGTAGCAGGAAAAGCACCTTTTGCCCAGCGGGGCAAAGATGCACAAGTATCTACTCTATAATCCTGTGGAGCCAGAGGAGCTCCCAACCCTCAAGGAGCTCAACACTGTAGGTAAGGCCCCAGGGGTCCCTTGCAGGAGCAGGATCCTCTAGGATCACATGGAGACAAGGTGTGGAAAGCCTGAGGCTGGGGCCATAGATCTGGAGGGTACAGGCTGCTGCAAGGAGAGCCCTGCTTTGTTGTGCCTTGGAGCTCTAAGGTGCCTTTGGTAGTTGTGGTGTCCCACCCATAAGGAGAAGGAACGCCCAAGATTCATAGATGCCTAAAGATCACTTGCTTTTCATGTATTTTTTCATATATTCATAGGTCTATAGATTACTACTTCATACTTGTATAGGTCCCAGTATTTTTCCTACCCTTAGAGTTATATAATAACCATATAGCAGATTAATGAAATACTGTTCAGTCTTATTTTCAAGAAGACAACCTAGAAGTATATTTTGCTTTCCAATCAGAATCTGAGAAGGCACCACAAGAAGTGGAGCAAAGAAGCCCTGGACCAACTCTGATGGGGCAGTATCCAAGGAAAAATTACATAACCTAATTACATAATTACATACTTCTTCTAATTGGACAAAGTTTGTTAGATGTGATGATTTGCCAAACTTATAAAATGGTAGAAATCTGATGCCAGGTGTGTCCGTGACCACTGGGACACCTGGAAGCCTCCAAATAAAGGCCTGCTTTTTATTTTACTATTTTAACAGTGTTGCAAGGGTTTTTCTCTTATAATATCAGGTAACTGCAGGGAACAACAAAAATCAGAGGGTCCACACAAACGCAAAAGGTTTTATTTGAAAAATTACGCAGTTGGCAGGGATTTTTCTATTTAGTCCCTGACTTACTGCTAAATAAGCACATGGATATAAGTCCAGGGTCCTGGGGGCTCTGACCAGGCTTGGTAGAGGTACCTTTTCAGAGATAGCTTTCTTGCTCTCTGCACCAATTAGTTATCATGTGCAGTCTGTTCTTTCACATCTCTTTAAAAATAGGTCAGAGGACTTTGGGCGTCTTTGGTGGCCTTAATTCCTCCTATAGTCCATGCCCATTTCTTGGGCTCTTTCTAGCTCTTGTGCTGTACTGTGTTGTGCTTATCTCCAGGATCTGCTACAAGATGTTTGTCCCAGGAAAGTGCTGCTCTATTTACACATGGCCCCCTTCCTCCAGGCCTGTGACCATGTTCACAGGGGTCTCAGGTTGAGGGAAGAAATGAGGATCTGACTCCATGTTTCACAAGGCTTGATTTATTATTTTATGATATATATTACATAAAAACTATACTAAAAGAATAGAAGAAAGGATTTCATCAGAAGGCTAGCTAAGAATAGAATAGCAAAGAATGATAACAAAGGTTTGTGGCTCGGCTCTCTGTCCGAGCCAGCTGGGCTGTGATTGGCCATTAATTACAAACATCCAACATGGGCCAATCACAGATGCACCTGTTGCATTTCACAGCAGCAGATAATCAATGTTTGCATTTTTTTCCTGATGCCTTTCAGCTTCTCAGGAGGAAAAATCCTAGGGAAAGGATTTTTCATAAAAGATGTCTGCGACACAGCCCCCTTTTGTCCTTTCCCTCTGAATGTTAATGCCAACAACCCTCTGCAGCAATGCAGCTGTGGGTGTTTCAGACATACACATTACATCCACCTACAGTAGCCCAGGCCTCCAGGTGCTGGCAGTGTCTAAAAGTGGAAATCACCTTTGCAAATACAGCCTGCCTTAGCTCTCCAGGCCTTTCTTGGACACAGGGCAGACTTTGGTGCTGGGGGCAGTCTGGAACACAGCTGGGCAGCCCCAGTCAGTGAGAATGCTTGTTCAAGGTGAGGGGGAACTTGAGAGCACTCCACTGTCACCTGCATGGGTAGGGGCATGGGGGATGGTGGTCTGTGCGGACTTCAGAGCATGGTATGGATTCCACTTGCTTTCCAGAAATCTGCAAAGTCTGGTCTGGAATGTCTCGGCACATCTACAGACAGCTCTTGAAGAAGAAGGTGAGTCTTGCCTCCTGCATGGGCCTCATCCTGCCCCTCTGGAGCAAGGTCTAAAGTGCCATCCCCGGAGCCATGCAGGTCACCTGGCAGCCTCCTTACATTGGGGCAGCCCTTCCAACACTTCCTCTTGCTTGTGTTTTTAGGCAGTGGATATCGGATTTGGGAGTTTTGCGGTTATCCCAGTGCACGCCAATGTGGCAGAGGGCAAGGTTTTGCCTGTTGAGAGACCTATGTTCATTATGAACAAGACTCTGAAGATGTTTTACAACCTTGAGGCTGATGAAACCAAAATTCCTGGTAAGAACATGGGATCCTTTCCTTACCCAGGCCTTGCATTTTGGCTTGGTGCCAACCCCTCTAATATAGCGAATATCAATTCTTCCAACCTGCCAAGTGCAGAGTGTGGGCACCAATGTGACAGCCCAGCACCCTGCTCCTCCCTGAGGAGCCATCCTCCTCTGCTCAGCTCCCTGTGCTCCATCTGGCTGCTCACAGCAGGAGGCAGAGTTTTCCCTGCCCTTTCCTGTCTGCTGTGTCCATCCTGGAGATGTGGGTGAAGCTGGAAGGGGGGGCACTGTCTGGCGGTGTTGCCTGGGAGCTGGGTGCTGATGACCTCTAGTTTCTGAACTGTGGTGAGAGAGGCACTGTCATTTTGTGCTTGTTCACTAGACGACATCCCTGTGGTTCAGCCAGACTTTGAGGACATCGCTGCACACATCCACTTTCGCCACGAAATTGTGGAGCAGTGCGTGCAGGAGACCCTGCTTTACTTTGCTGGGGCCCTCCGAGAAAACAAAGAGGTGGAGTTCAACTTCAGGACCATCGGTATCCTTGCTGTGCGTAAAAAAGTGGTCACCATGACCTTCTTTGACAGCTGTGTGCTGGAGATGGATACAACAGGGAACATGCTGACAGCCCTTCTCGAGGTGAGCTTGTCCTTTCTGTGGGGTTCCTCCTCATGGTTTTGTGGCAGTGTGCTGTCAAAACATTCCAGCTGCCTTGTCTGGGCTGTTGTCACCTTCCTCACCAGCCTAGGCACACTGCCAATGAGCTAGTCCAAATCTCAGGAGTGCCTCATCCCCTTTGAGGGAAGGGCTAATGACATCAAGGGAGAAAGTGTGTGAGGGCTTCCTGTTTCAGAAATCCAACACATATTCTGGGTTTCTGCTGATATTCTGCTGTTCCCTTCCAGGACCCTGACATGATGAGCACCGTTGCCTTTCCGGGCCAAAACAATTTTAGTCGGGTCAGTCAAGACGAGGTTGTCATACTGCCAAGGTGAGCCCCCAGCTTGTCAGCCACTGTTTTGAGGGTACCCTCCTGCCAAAGCTCCTTTCCAGCCAAACTTGGGCAAGAGCAGCCACTTCATAGGAACACTTCTCTTTCCACTGCTCACTCCCCCCTGGCTTTGGAGATTGCAGATGAAGTGGCCATCCTGCTTTCAAGAGGGGCAAGAGGGTGTCGAGGGATATATATTCTTATATATAATATAAGAAAATAAAGATAGTGTAGAAAGTAATCTTACCCCTATGGAGTAGCAGCTGGGCCAATTATCAAAAATTAGGAACAAGCCTGACTTTACAGGCCACAGCTGTGACTAGTGAGAAAAGAGTGCTGTAAAAGAGTGGGGTGGCTGTGTGAGAAGGGAACTGGAGTCAATTGGCTGCTTTGTGAAGAAGAAAGAGTTGGTGCTTTGAGAAGCTACCCATGAGAAACACCAAGAAGGTGTGAAACTTTTGTGATAAGGAGACAGCAGTACGGAACCCCTGCAATAAGATGACAAGAGGGTCTGTGCAGGCAGCAAGGACAGCATGAGTCCTGTCCTCCGAGTGTGCCTCAAGTATGTGTGCCAGCCTCCAAGAGAGCCTGCTGCCCCAGGTTTACCCAGCTGGTGCCATCTTGTTTGCAGCTTTGTGGCCGAGGCCCCGCACCAGCCATCGGGCCGGCTGGTGTCCCTGAAGCCCAGGAGAGAGTCAGCACCGTGGGGTGGGGGCGGCCGCAGAGGTACGTCCCAGCTGGCAGGGACTGTCTGTGCTCTTGTCATCATGAGGGAAAAAAAGTCTGGGGGAACCTTCTCTGAAGAGGCTTTGAGCTGTGAGGAGCCTTTACAATTCAATTTCCCCAGTGGGCTCCTGGGATCCCTCAGTGCCTCCCAGTTCTTCTCATTGGTGGGTCCCTGCTGCTGGCAAGGTGTAAGAGGGAGATGAGGAAAACCATGTCCAGGGGTGGTGGGTGGCTGGGTGGGAATTCAGCTCTGGAGCAAATCTATTGCCAGCTGGGGGCTATTTACAAATCACAAACGAGACGGGGCTGCTGTGGAACATGCCTTGAGAGGTTTCATTTTCCAGCATCACTCTCATTACATGATTATGACAATGAGAAGATGCCACCAGCTCACATCCCAGGCAGCAGACTAAGAATTTAATGTTACAACTCACTTTATAAGTTTTTTGACCAATCACACAAAGCAAAAGCACATTGACAGTAGTTCTATCCAACCACTATAAATAAGCACACGTACCTTTGGTTAAAACAATGCTGGCTTATTTTGAATACAATACCTGCTTGTAAGCCTTAAACACAATGCACGGAGCTCCATTATTAAGCTTCAACCTTCCTAATATCTTGCTAGATAAACTTTTCTGTAGCTTAGAGAGTTATTCTAGACGAGTGTTAATACACGGACCATTGTTCTATTTGTCCTTTTCTACTTTTTGAATAATTTTTCTGCTGACCAATCTCATGGCTGCTGCTTAGCTCTGATCACAGTTCTACTGCCTCTGAGGCCTGCCTTTTGCAGCTTTCCCAAAACCCTCTGGTTTTGTGGATTCCCACACAAATCCAGTGTGGACAAAAGAAAAGGGCCTGCCTGGGACTCCTAGGAATGGCAAGGATAGTCAGTGAGCCTTGTGTAGCGTGACTGCACAGCTCTGCCACCCATGCTGTCCCACATGATCTCAAAGACTGTGCACTCTTCTCTCTCCTCCTGCTTGCAGTGAGTGTGCTGGATCCCGTGTTCCTGGCTCGGAAGAGGGTTTCTCAGGCCAGTCAGCAGTCGGCGGAAACGGATCACGGTAGAGACAAGGAAGCTATCCTGGGGTGAGCATTGTAGGGCAGTGGTGTGGCTGAGGGCACGCTCTCATCATCGCTTGTGATAATGGGTGATGCTTCCCTTGTGCTGATGCCAAACAGCCCTGGAGACACTGCCCTGCTGGACACGTGGTCCACCTACTGAGCTGCTGGGTGGTGCCAGAGGACAGGCTGCTGTCCCACAGATAGAAATTCACACTTGGCTCCCACCAGCTCAGACTGCTTTTTGTCCTTTTCAGGTACCTGCCTGCAATCCTGGAGAGGACCCATGCGATGAAGCGCCCCACCTCTCCAGCTCAGCAGGGCCTGAAGGTCTCTGCAAGTGCTGCCCAACGCTCAAAAGAGGTAGGTCCATGCTGGGGTTCTGCTAGTCCTGCACATGGTCCCAGCCCTCCTGCCCTGCCCAAGCTCGAGGTGTTTAATTCTGTGCATGGCCTTCAGGGGAAGCACCCTATCTTTACTGAGAAGGAAGAAAGAGAGCTGCAGCTGCTGCTGGCGTCCAAGCGCCATGAGGTGGAAGCAGACGTGTATCGCAAATACTTTGGCAACCGAGCAGCCACTGAGCGAGGAAAGGTATGACACAGCCCGCAGGAAAAGGGTGTTTTACCTTTCTGCTTGGTGGCAGGGGAGCAGGGAAGGTGTCCTAGCACAGCAGTGGTGCCATGGCTGGGGGCTGGACAGGGCTCTTCTGCCCTGCCCCCTGTCCCTGAGGCTCCAGGTGTCTCTACAGAGCATGACACGGTACAGTAATACACAGCTCTATCAGAAGGGTGCAAAAGAGAAAATTTATTAAACCAATGTAGCTTTTATAGTTCTTCCAGATATTGACACCCTTCTAACACATATAGTGCCCATTGGCCATAAAAGAGAAACAGAATTCCCAGCAGGTGACCAGGGAGCCTTGTCACTCTGTGAGCCAGCGAGAGTCCATATCTCCCAACTTGCTCTCCTTCCTCTGGCCTCCATGGTAACAACTTTGGTGTTCCTTCAGGAGAGATATAGGGCTTCTCCCATCTTCAGGAGGCCTTGCTAGCTCACAGGGACAGCACGGAATGTCTTTCCCACATCTGGGCTGGAGCGTGCAGCTGGCTGTGGCACGGGCTCTTTGCTTTGTGCCCTCTCTGAGCCCTGAGCCAGGCCTTGCAAGGCAAACACCTTGGCTGAAGGCTTGGGAGGAGCCCCAGCTGCTGGTGGCAGTGCTTCAGGAGACCTCCTCTGCCTTTGCAGACCTCCTGCCCCTACGTGTTTGAGGATCCCTATCGCCCTCCCCACATCCTGAGGAAGGCCTACGCTGAGAAGCTGAAGGAGATGGGGCAGCAGCGGGAGGAGGAGTCTCAGCTCTCTGGGAAAGCTCTGGAAGAGTAAGTGAGGTGGTGGGAGGGCCCACAACAGGCGCTCTAGAGCAGGGAGATGGAGTCAGCAGCACTGTCAGGCATGGGGCATGGGGAGCCCTTCTGCCCAGCCACAGAACTGAGGTCCTTTCTCCTGCTTCCTTCAGCAAGGGTGTGCAGACAGGTTTGTTGGAACGCTGAGGAGAAGGCCCAGCGACTGCCAGCCCTGCCAGCAAGCTGCAAGCAGCCCTGCAGAGACAATTGTCACAGAATTCTTCCTTTCCAACTGGAGAGCTGCCAGGAATGGGCAGCAGGGGCAAGGACTGTCTTAGTGAAGGAGAATGTGCCAAATAAAGGCTGCTGGTACCTGAACTCCACTAGAGTAAGCCTGCTGATGCCTTCATTGCCTTTTTTTTTAAGCCAAGGGGATGGGAGAGCCTCCTGCAGGCCGTGGTCAAAGAGCAAACGGGCTGGAGGGACCTGGCCCTGCCAAGCAGTTGTGACAGGCCATGGGACTGAAAAGTGGTGTCCTTTCCAGGGTAAAGGCATGGGGGCTGCAGAGCACAGCTTCTCTGCATCCAAACACCACTCTGTAGGGATAACAGAGGCCTGGGGCTGGTCATAGCACTGTGAGGGCAGGTTTGATCTGGCAAAAGCCAACAGTAGGCTTGATGCTGCTTGGAGAGCTACACTTGCACAGAGAAATGTGCTTCATTGAAGACACTCCTTAATTTAGTCCATGGCTGACCCTCAGGAACCATTGAGTGGCCTCCTTGGGAGAGAGCTTCTTCATTTCAGGAAGAAAGAAACTTTTGAAAGTGGGAAACTTTTCTTTTGGCAAGGTTAACTTACAGCATGAACAAGAAAGCTGCAACCTGGAAAGGTAAAAGAGCACCAGCAGCAGCATAGTCTGGCAACTATGCCAGACCCTGTCAGACCCTGGGGTCTCCACTGGGACTGCTGCTGCTGAATATCACCTTCCTTAATGCCATAGCTAGTGAGATTGAGTGCAGCCTCAGCACATTTGCAGGTCTCTCTCACAGGCATTTTTTATGAAAAATCCTTTCCTTAGGATTTTTCCTCCTCAGAAGCTGGGGGAGGCCTCAGGAACAAAATGCAGACATTGATTATCTGCTGCTGTGGAATGCAACAGGTGCATCTGTGATTGGCCCATGTTGGATGTTTGTAATTAATGGCCAATCACAGTCAGCTGGCTTGGACAGAGAGCCGAGCCACAAACCTTTGTTATCATTCTTTGCTATTCTATTCTTAGCCAGCCTTCTGATGAAATCCTTTCTTCTCTTCTTTTAGTATAGTTTTAATGTAATATATCATGAAATAATAAATCAAGCCTTCTTAAACATGGAATCAAATTCTCATCTCTTCCCTCATCCTAAGACCCCTGTGAACATGGTCACAGGTTTCTTGGGAGCAGGAGCCAGGTGGGCAGTTTTAGAGGTAGATCTTCACTGTGTGGACTTTATTACAGGACTTATCCAGGCACTGAGCAGACACAAAGCCTTTTTGGCTTCCTCTCCAGGTTCCCAGGCCTCCCAAAACATGATTTCCTGGCTCTGCTGCTGCCTGGCAGCATATCCGCAGTAGCTGGTCTGTAGCAGTCTCTAGTGGCATCAGCAGCTGGCTTGACAGGGACAGAGGTAACACAGGGTTGTGGGGGCAGGCTTAGGTGTTTGAAGTCACATTGCATTTTGATTGCAAACTTAGGTGATTAATTGGTTATGTATGTCTGTGGTGTTGAGAGGTCCCCAGGATGAGGTGAGAGATGAGAATTTGACGCCATGTTCTCAGAAGACTTATTTAATATCTTATGACATTATATTAAAATAAAATAAATTATATACTAAAACTAAACTAAAGAAAGAGAAAGGATACAGCCAGAAGGCTAGAAGAGAATGAATAATACAAACCTGTGACTCCTCAGAGAGTCTGACACAGCTGGCTGTGATTAGTCATTAGGAAAACACAATTCACAAGGAACCAATGAAAGAATCACCTACCAAGAATCATCCAAAACAGCAAGGACAAGCAATCAGATTATTATTTACATTTTTCTCTGAGGCTTCTCAACTTCCCAGGAGAAGAAATCTTGGTGAAGGGATTTTTCAGAAAATATCACAGTGACGTGTGTAATTTTTCTTTTTTTTTTTTTTTTAATTACCTGGGGCACCATTTCTGTTGAGAGGCTGAGGGGAGCAGGAGGTGTTGGGCAGAGGTGAACTGCTCAAGCAAACAGAAGCTCAGAAGTGAAGCAGCAGGACTGGGGAGGTTTAGGATTTTCCTAAACCTTCCTTGCCTTGCAGAGGGGGCTTGGCCAGATGCCATTCATGAACCTCCATCAGCTATGTGGTCTTGTGTGCCAGTCACAGCTGGTTTACAATAGTGTGAAAAACTAACAGCTTTGTGTTCAGCTGAAGTGATGGACGAGGTGTAAGGGCTGGCCATTTGCCTGCTGCTGCCAGTGAGTGTGCTTTGTAGAGTTTTAAAGCGTGAAGATGGCCAGATTTGTCAGTTTTCTAAACCTTTTTAGCACAGTGCACCCAAATTCCTCAAGTGATATGTTGATATGTATTGTGTGTATGTGATATGTATTAATTTTCAGCACAGAGGAGCAGCCAGGAGGAGCAGAAGAAAGCTAGTGTATTTAGTTATTTTCACTCTTGTACCTTAAAAAGGATATCTGTAGGACCATAAGAGTGTCATAGCCAGCTTTTGCTTGAAGATGCTGGGGATGATTTAAAGTAAGATAAAGGTCTGATGATTGACTGTCCTATTAAGGGCAAATGCTTCAGCATTGTAGTTTAAAAGTGACACCTGCTCCCACAAAACTGAGACAGGGCTTTAAAATGAGATGTGTGTTTAGCCAGAAGCCCAAGAAGGACTAATAGCCTCTGGAATGCCTTGGGAAGGTACAACTCTCACTTTGGTGGAAATTAGTGTAGCAACTTGCTGGTGAAACTGGTTTTACTTTGATTAGCATTTTGCTTCTGATGATCAGCTCCTTGCTAGGGAGCACAGTCTCAGACCTTGGCCTGTAAAATGTTGGACTGGCCTTTCAGAAAGGTGCATGCTCACATGTTACTCTGCTTTCAAACAGCTAATGTATAATTAGCATGCTGACATTATTGGCTGTTGGCTTTTCGTGTCAAGTGACTGAACTATTGCCTGAGAAAGTTACGTGCTCACATAGAAGCTCTGTACAGTGAAAAGGCAGGAATGCTTTCAAGATGTGATTGCATTAAAAAAAAACAAAACAGGTAGTTCATTACCAATAGGATGTGGAGCAGTAACCCTTGCTCCTAAACATAGACAGTAATCTAACCAGAGCTGTAAAAACTGACTTCTTGAACAACTGGTGAAACTTCTAATCCTTCTGGGGAAATAATTGTGTGTTAATTAAGAGCCAGGATTCCATGAGGCTTATTAGCTGTCTAGCTGGATCTGAGAAGCAGAAGGTTGAGCAGAGTTTAACTAAAATTTAGAACTGTTAATTAGTCTGCTTTCTTCCCAGTCTCCTTTCTATTTTCCTGTTGTTGGTTTGTGTAGCACACTTTGAATGACCCGTGAGAAGCAACTGCTACTGTGCTTCTGACATGATAGCTCCCAATTGTAAATGCTGTATTTTTCTAGCTGTGAAAGAATAAAGCTTTAAAAGAGCTTGGCTGCCCTTAGCTACAAGCTGGCTTGTTATGGATGAAGAAATGACAGAAAGTGGAAAAAGCAGGCTGGCTAATCTTGTTAAATTGGCTGAGTAATGTTGCATTCACAATATGTGAACTCCATGCTGCAAGGCACAGATGCTTTTATAAACTTTAGATGACCTGTCTTACTTTAGCCCTCTTTACAGGGCTCAGAAAATATTTGATAGGTGCATGGAAACCTAAAAATCAATCCGCCTTCCTTACAGACCTCTGTTTTGGGAGTTAGGGATATGGGAATTTGTGACTGTGTGAAGGTTGTGCTTCCCTGAGGCATGCCTGGGCAAGATAAGGGAGGGAGAGGTAAAACCTGAAAGCTCTTTTATTAGGTTCAAAAGTTTTTTAAACAGCAATTGGAACTGTTTCCTGATTTTTTTTTTTTTTTTTTTTCACTTGGATATTATGATTCAGTTTACTTTTTGGTGGGGTGGGGTGAGGAGTATCCTAGCATGCAGTGCAAAACTTCCAGGGATTCTGATATGATGTGAGGTGAACTGAACAAAATAGCTGCTGTTTAACCTCAATAGCTCCCGAGAGCCCCAGTGAAACCATTTTGAGCCTGATGAGTAGGAATGGTTTGAAGGTCTATTGTAAAAGAATTCTACTGGAATTCTCTTTGTTAATTCGTTAATTAACACTTGTCAGAGTCTGCTTTGTATTTCTTACAATGACTACCACTTCATTCTAGGGGTGTAGTTAAGCCCTTGAGCTAATTTGACTTCTGCCTTCAGTCCTCTTATATTTAATGCCCCACTTTTAGATGTTTTCTTGTTCTGCTCATTACAATGTTTATATCTTCCTTTCAGTTTATAGTATGTCTCCACTAGGACATTTGCATCAATATAAATGCATTTGCTTAATACAGATGCACTGGAAAAAAAGGAATATGCATCAGAATGACTAATCCTGGTAACTTCAATGGGTTCACACCTGTGAGGTGTGCCTGTATTTTAGTTCAGAAGTTTGGTGGGTGGGGCCAAGTGGAAAAGGGCATTAAGTGTGATGTAGATAGCCCTCCAGTTATAAATGGAAAGAGTTCTTGGATCTGTAAAAATGTCCTCATCATGCAGATTAGAGTAGTCGTGCTGTATGATTAGAGCCCTATTGTACCAAGCATTTGAGGGTGATGGGGTTTTTTTCTCATGTCCTTAGTTATTTCCCTGCTCCTTTAAAATACATGCTTGTTTTTTATTAAGAGTAGCTAAGAATGTCTCTTAAATCTAAATTTGAGGAGCCCCTGAAACAATCAGATGCCTGATCCTAAATGTGAGAGTATAGGTATGCATTAGTAAGAATCCCAAAAGCTGTTACAGAGAGCACTTGTGTCATTCTTTTGGCAGTCTTTGAATTCTGCCACTACCAAATCGTGGGTTTGTTTCTTGTTACTACAGTAGCTTTTCTGTCAAATACACGGCACAGCATTCTGATCTGACACCTGCTTGGCAAGAGTTGCTTGCTTGGAGCTCAACTACATACCTCTAGTTTAATTTTGAAGTTAAAGGTTTGTTTTATAAAGGCTGATCCTCAGTCATATGCAGATAA